TATAATTGCCAGACCGTAAGATTATCCTGACTTAACGCTCAATGGCTGGGTTACAATCGATTGTTTGGTGAATAATTTACCCAGAACAATGAAAATGACGTTATAGTCTCATCTAGTGAATTTCCCGATTCCCATTCAGATCTCGTGCAGAGTTTCATTAATTTAAGATAGCGAAAAGTGTATGGGCTTGACGGAAAAACTCGTTTTTGTCGAGTTTCTCTTCCGTTTGATAATCTTGTATAGGCATACTGAATTGCATATTGGAATGACATAACATGCTTCAAAAGCTTCGCCAGCAGAGCCCACACTGTCCGAATGTTTTTGGGTCAAGTTTAACATAAATTGATTTCGTTGCCAATTGCATGACAACGCGAGTGCGACACACCACGGCAGGCATGACAGCTCCGCAGCCATTTGTTAAGAGGCTAATCATAAATTTTCCACAGCCGTAGCTGGTACTGATAAAGGAGCCAGCACTGCATTGAAGCATTTTCTGTTTCAATTCACGCGGTTTATATGTATAATAGAAATGCTAATGTATTTCTTAATTTAACTTCTTACTGTCATTTCAATTATGATTACTGTATATTTAATAACAAATTGATAAAAAGATACTGTTCCATGACATAGCTAACGCCGGTGATTGCGTTATCAATTGCCTCCTGATAAAGCCGTTGCAATTTTCAGGTGGTGGCCGTTGGATGACGGCAAGGAAAACTAGTTGATCAAGGAAAGTAACGCCAGCACTCTCCGCGCTCGTGCTCTGTAGATTACTCTGCAGTCTGCACATTGCAGATTGTGTTGTGCGATACTGGCGCCAGACTAACTTTGGCGCGATTTCGATTTTGAATTGCATCATGAATATGAAGGAAAACGCTGCTCATTCAGTCCAACTTTACAACCATATTTATCTTCAAGGCTCGTCGTTTAATTACGCCAACGCTGTTTATCATGGTTCCAATCCTAAGGAATTGAATGCCGAATCCATAATTTTTCGTCTTCTCGACTATCGTTTTGATATGTTGATTCAGAAACTTCGTGCCTACATATTTTTGCTACTATCACATCACACACTTCTGAAGTCAGCACAAATACAAGTGAAACCAAACATCTCATGTTTCTCTGGTTTAGTATATCGTTCCATCACCGGCCTATCACTCAGTCGACTATGGGGACTCTGGTATGACAGAGAAACGCGTCCGCTGCCGACTCCAGTCCGGGGACGTCTCTGTCGACTGGGAACTCCGTTGTGACGGCGCGGCCGTGTCGTCTGCCGGCTCCGGGTATACGTCTCGGCCTGCCCGGGAACTCTGTTGTGACAGAGCGTCCGCTGCCGGCCGGCTGTGGGACGTCTCTCTCCGTCCGTCTCGTCTCCCGTCCGACACCAATGGCGGGCGGCAGCTGCGTGCTGGCCCACATCGCCCTGTGATCGATGCAGCTCTGTTGTGGCGCCAGGAATGCCGCCGGCTGCGACCGGAGATCGAGTACCCAGATCACGGCGGCATCGCCAAAAACCGCGCCCGCCAGCCACCGCCGCCGTTCTCATTCAGTGAGCCGGGCCATTTGGCTGATAGCATCGGTCTCGCCTCGTCATGAGATCTGTGGCGGCTGTCACCAGAGTCATGGTCTCCGGCTGGTGACGACGGTGACAGTGACGGTGACATGGCCAGCCTGGTACGGCAGCTGGCACCGCGGAATGTTGAGGCAGCGGATACCGACTATCGCCACTTTGGCTTTCTTCAGTTGAACTGGACGAAATCTGCGCTTATTAAGAGGTTGTTGAGGAATCTTGACTTTAGAACTAATTGGAGTCAATTAAGTTATTTGAGACGGGTCCTTCCCATCCTCACGGTGCTATACAAATCGACTCACATCCGGGAGACACTCAATTAAGCGATCGATTAGCAAAACAAATCTATAAATGCCAATGTGGATGTGACCCTCTGAAACTCTGCGGCTGACCCGCTGTGACCCAAAGCCTCTTGGAGTTGAGACTTGCAATGGGATCCGCGACCCCGTAGGGCTCGAGCCCCGTTGCGTTTGTCGTTTGTATCAGCCCCGTTGCGTTTGTCGGCCCCAGGCGATGTACCTTGCGGCGCAGTATAACACGCAGGCGCCTGAGAATCGACTCCAACCACTGAGATCTGGCGCGCGATTCAAAACGAGCCTTTTCCGAGATGTGTTTCAAATTCAAAGTCAGGCGTGTACCCATGAATTTTGAAGATAACGCTGATGCAGAAAAGGAAAAAAGAAAACGCGATAATGCTAATTCCTGAGTATTTCAGTAATTATCAATGTTGGCGTCACGAATTGCATGAGCACTACGCTATGGTGCAGGAGTTCTAGTAATGCTTAGACCATGTTTCATTCGCAATTTTCCGTTGTATATTTCTACACTTAGCTACTCTTTTGACAAATGCCAATTTCAAATGCATGCCCAATCCATGAGCAGACCATGGTAAGAAAAGAGGAAGCTGAGCGTCTTCCTTTTCATGGCAGAGCATTACGATGCTGTCATTATGTCGCGGCACATGATTATCCTGCGTTCTTTCCAATCTTCATTAGGCTGCATGAGACGGAAGACCACTCCATAATTTGACACGTTTACGGGTGTCTCAGCCGTCATCCTCCTGTTTCGTTCTTGTCCTCTGGCCCTCCGAGCGGAAGTATCGATCAAAGCATAATAACTGGGTGGTACGTTCGTTTTCGGGACGGTTTGCGTGGTAATAATAATTTCAGGCTGACGACACGCGAAGGTTATAGTTATCTGCTGTCGAATGACACGAATGTCATCCGGCAGACGGCACCTGATGCCGACATCATTTTCACCGTACGAAAGTACCAGCGTCCCACTGAGTCCGACCTTGGCTATCGGAGATCTCGGTAGGTGGTTTAGGGAACTAACGTGGCAAATTGATGGTTGAAGTAGAAAAAGTTGATGGATGATATCCGCTGCATGTTTTTAGACCGTATCCACTGGTTAGTGGTTATGTAGCTGGATATCTGCTACGAATCTTGATTGTACGGATAACTTATTTTGAGTGTTGAGTGTTGACGTGCCTAATGCCTATTGAAACGACCCTGTTCGAGAAAGACATTCTGTGAGGTCCAGGCACTTCCAAAGATGCCACTCCACATTCGAAGTCCACGAGCATTATATCGACTCTGCCAAATAGGCTCTCCTTAACGTCTGAAGAAGCTGACGGACAAATAATTTAGCTTGTCAGTGAAGGTCAGCTCCGCGGGCTAACGAGCAGCCGCTGCCGCAAACCCATGGAGCGTTTGACAACAATAATGCTGGCTGTTGTGAGTTCCATTCCAAAGAACGTCGTGCTTTATTGGGCGGGTTTGGTGATTTGCTAAACGTGTTTCGGTTTGTTAGATTCGCTTTTGTAAGCACTATGAGGCACATGGGCATCTCCGGACACGGGTATTTTATGTAGCATGCTTCGTTGTATGAGCCATGGTCATTACTTTTTCATGAAACAGGTGCGCCGAACGCATGTTGATGTCCATGTGGACAGTAGCTGACTGGGTAAAACAATTCACAACCGGCATATGTAAAATTCAGCGACTAACCAGACAACCTTCGAAACATGCAGCTGTCGGTCCGTGTTTCCTCCGCGGTGAGAAATGACCGGTACCATGCCGAAATTCAGTTTGCTGAAACACGGCATGTGCAGGATATGAGAATAATCCCCACTTATCAACCACAGTTGACGTCAAAACTACGGGGCTGCGTCTGAAGCTGAACTGCTCGAAACTCAGAACTCGTGCGAGGTCAATTGGAGAGGTGCACTACCGCAATAGCGTGATGAAATGCACCCAAATAAATGCACGATATGTCTTGCATAGGCACGTGGGAACATACTGTTATGCTATCCATTGTAAAGACATTTACATTTAGTAAGAAATATTAATAAAGTATTAAGGTCAAAATTTACTTCATATGTTTCTTCTTCCTTCGGATATTTGATAGCTTATTTGGTACCATTTATGTATATCATAGCACAACATCCGACGGATAGCAAAGCTCACCTTTGCAGCGCTTAGGTCGCGGCCCCGATATATGCAGCGCCGGGGTCTGTTGGCGCAACAAAGAGCGTACGACAGCGCTGGTCGGGCCCACTGCAGAATCAAGTGTCGCCTGGCTGCTCAGATACAGAGATTGTCCGACAAGATCAGCAGATACATAATGTGCTGTAGGCCCTCAGCCGACCGCATTACAATGGCTGAACATCTTAATTCTGCGCCGAGACAGGATCTTAAACACGCTACATTACAAAACAAACCATTTACAGGGATTTGCGGAAACGCTTTTAAGCTGTTTTACGGTTACGCAGTTTCATTTTGGCGTCGTGCCTGCTTGTAAAGCGGAAGTGACGTCACATTGGCTGCGCAACAATTGGTATTTCCGTTAGAGATGCTGCCATTTAACTTGTGCAGGCAACTAACGATATAATAGAAGTGCTTATAATTATTGGGGAACACCATTATATGGGTTTTGCAACGACACTTGTTTCAATTATAGTCACGGAACTGAACGAGAAAGCACTTCAAACAGGCCACGCATGCATTAGTTATCACACACTCCATGAAGACCAAATAATTTAATTGCTGCCACGGTGAAAAATGCAAGATAACGCGAAAGCTATTAGTTCAATATACCGTGTCACGCGTGTGAATTTAAAGGTCGAGTGCCATGCGTCGCATGTGCGGCAGGTATTCATCACTCGACATTCTCACACCGGTTACCAGGGTGATACGTTGGCAGCAGGTAACACAGCTGTCAGAGCAACCGTCAGAACACTCGCTCGTCCTGTTCACTGTCCTTCAAGCAGGTACTTTTCTAAAGCGAGGTGACATCACCTATCCGTCATAATCCATTGTGCATTCATTTTTGCGCAATTATCGCCAAATGTTGCATTGTGTGTGCTGTGATTAAGGCCGCTAGTTTGAGCACTAGTCACCAGATGCTCCTTTAACATCTTATCCTGCAGTTGCTGGTGGACTCGGCACTGCGGGTCACTGGAGGCTCGGCCGCTGAGGAACGTCCGGTCACCCTCTCCGAGTGTCACGATAGTCATCTCACCGGCCACTGTCCGCCCAGCGGGACGCCGCCGTGAGAGCAATGAGAGCCGGTGGAACTGGGACGGACCGCGACGGACTGGTGTGCCGTCCACTGACCACCGGTAGGCGTCCGGAGCCGTCCACCGGCCGCACTGCACCGTCCACCGTCCACCGTCCACCGTCCACCGTCTGTCGTTACACCGCCGCCCTTCAGTCCACCGTCCACTGTCTACACCGTGTATGGTCCACCTTCCACCAATCAGTGTCCACCGTCACCCACCTCCGAACCACGGGGAAGTGAAGCCGCGCTGACGCATCCGAGGAAAACAACAATGATAGACAGGTCATGCTTGAGACGCATTTTAATTTCCTCAAACTCGCCCGGCCAGTCGCTGGCAAAAGGCAACGGAAAGAAGTGGGGAAAACGGGGCACGCTCATGGCTGAAGGCCGAAACTAGGTCGTTTCCAGCCAGGCACAATGCTGAGTGAATCTGGTTTGGGAGTTTTATATGGAAAGCTTACCTGGCCACTTCCTCTATTGTTCACTGTTGTTTCGATGTAATTATTATTCTATAGCTCATGAGAATTTCCACTGAGACCTAACCGTGTGAAAATGGTCTAGCGGAAGCTAAAGGTCATGTGGTTACTCTAGTCTATGTGGCACAGTTTCTGCCCATTCGCGATTAAACTCGAGACAAATGAATCACGCTTTCCTTTATGCCCTTGCCGATGCCGATGTTTCATTGGCTATTGTGTGACTTTCCTTGACGGCCATGAAGTACAGTTTTGCGCTTCATCTTGCACATATCACTGAAACTTGGGGCGGCTTGACAGTGACTTACATATGATTGACTGATCTTGAGTGATCGAGTAACGAGAGCTGGGAGAGGGCTTTTTGAGTAGAGTTGCAAAATTTCTCTACCGCACTACCGGCATGCCGGTAATTTTTCACTACCGCAGGTTTATTCGTGGTATCTGGCATGTCTTGCCGGTAGCATGCCGGTATTTTTGATTTTGTGCAAAAAAAAATCAGCAAATAATTCAAACTTTGGACACTAAGAGGCTCTCAAATTGTAGTAACAGCAATATTAGCCACTGCAACTTGCAAGATACATTTTGTGGTAGAAGTTCCATTGCTAAGTGTAGGGGTAACACATGGACCTCAGCATTTCACACTAAATTCACAAGGTTGGTTATAATTAGAATTGTCAAGAATCTACTGTGGTCTATAAAAGGAAGAATACTCATTTATGTTGCAAAAGCACGATAATCTAGTAAGTCTAATGGTAGGTAATACGTATAGCACAATAAAATAAATAAATGTTAATGACAACATTCCCTAGGGGAAAAGGCAGAATCAAAACACCCAAAAACACAATGTTTGGAAACTGGCCTTGAGTCCTGAGATCTTGAGATGTGGTCTGAGAAACTCTACAAAGAATTTGACACTGAAAATCCAGCTGAAAAGGCAGGTGTTAGGTAGCCCTGAGCCTGACTTAGGTCCCATAATTAAATGAAAATGGATTTGAACTGGCATTTTGTCTTATCTTTACAAGAAAACACATCATCCAGGCAAAATTGACAAAAAGTGGCGCAAATCATTAGACAACCAAGGATTTACTTTTAAGATTCTCTCTCCCCTAATGAATGGATGTAATCTGATGACGTAATATTTATTCATATACCCTTTTGGTTGAATAACTGAAGAGAAATGAATTTCTTTGCAGTGAATTACACTACAATGTTGATTTCATTATAATTTAATATTGTGTTGGATAATTTTTATCAATATAATCATTCACGAGGCAGTGGCTTGCAGTCGTTAAACATTTTTTTTGCAGCGTTTTAATCAGCTGGTTAAAAGCCTCTGTTATGGCGCATCTGTTTCGAAATCGATAACCTTGTGTTTGTTCCCGCTTGAGGTTGGAGAGGATGGAAGATATCGTTTTATACATATTGACTATTCTCAGGACCAGTGAGTTATTAACCCGCGCCCCAGTGGCGGTCTCGGCCAACTTCGCCCTAGTGAGGGGGGGCATATGTTACCACCCACCTCTAACTCAAAAACTAAGAGGGCTAGAAAGACGCGGTAAAAAGCAGTCGATAGCTCTCAATACGTACGCTTGAAAGTATTTCGGTCATTTTTCACCTTAGAGCAATATTGGGGTCACCAGAGGTCATCAAAGGTCAAAATTTGCCAATTGTCTTTATATTTTTCAGAAAACATGCCGCTATCTCAGGAACTATGGTAGCTAGAAAAACGCATGGAAAAGCAATCGATAGCTTTTGAACTCTTCTTTTGAAAAGGTCATTATCAATATTGTCCTCAGGTCAACGGTTTAGCCTCCAGAGGGCAAAAACTAAAAAAATAGCTGTTTTTACGAAAAGTGTTTTTCGACAATAACTTTCGACTACAAAAAGCCACGACATTTCTATTGCCAGAATCGTGTTCCCCTCACCGAGATGCGTCGAATGAACTATAATTTGACCTTGAAAGGTCAACTTAAAAATTTGACCTCAGGTCAAGGTCATGACCTGACCGGAAAAGGTCATGTTGCATATCAGTCGATGCGTCTCAACAAGACAAACACAATGAGACCATCCCCAGCGTTCTATCTCTTTCCAATCGCGAGTTATTGGCAAAAAACTGTTTGTAGCCTCAAATGACCTCGGATGACCTTTCTAGAGGCTATCAGCAAAAATGACACCTTGGTCATCACGAGTGGACTAAATCATTGTGATTCTGAAATATTTGGACTGTTCCTGTGCGTACACACGGATCTAGAGGCATTTTCATTTTTCTCCATTGACTTGTAATGGAAAGGTCATGCCACTGACCTGACCTTAGGTCACGGATATAAAAAATCCGAGATATACAAATTGTAGGCTCCCATAACAGCATGCAATCCACCAAGTTTAATACCTTTCTGACAAACACTGCAGGCTGGACATGATTGCAAACTTTTTTTAAGGCTTGGTCAGTTAACTTGACCTGGTGACCTGACCTGACATGACCTGGGGTCAAAAATTTCACACATTGTCCAAAATTGATGTACCAAAAGCTACCTCAAGCGGCGCGGCGCTACGCGCCGCGGTTTTTTATTCACACGCGAAAAACGCGACAGGGTGGTAACATATGCCCCCCCCCACTGGGGCGAAGGTTAACACATTTTTTTACATGATTCGTATCTTATTCACGAACCAGCAAGCCATAGTTGATAGGAAAAAGTAGATGTTGATCTCGCTTCCTCAGTTAGGAAGATGGCCGAATCTGTACTTGTTTACCTATGTTTTGACCATCTAGATTTTAAACATTTGGCTGGTGCCTGCAACATTTTAGGAGAATATGGAAAAGTAGAACACCTGTGAAATGTAAATGTGATTACTGCTCACTGTCCAGTCTTCAAAAACACATTTCAGTAATTCAAGTCCTTTTTGTCCTCACCTTTTTGATGAATGTAATAGTCTTTTTGTAGGCAATACTTCTTTGATTACAGGTGATATTTTAACAGGTATAGACTGGAATGGAGTTTCAAAATTGTGGGTATTTGTGGGGCCAACTCAGCCAAAATCAGCCTGCTGGTATTTGTGGTTGGACAATGGATGGCTGTTGGGTGGGAGGGGCACTGAAACTGCCAAAATGTGGCATCTCTTGCAGGGGTCAGCTAGAATCAAGAATGCAGGGCTTTTAGTATGCCGGTAATTTGGCGGTTTTTTTGCTTGGGGCGTGGTAGCATGCCGGTATCCCAGAAAATTTTTTGTGGGGCGGGGCGGTGCCGGTAGCAGCCTTTGGGGAAAACTTTGCAACTCTATTTTTGAGGGTCAGCTATAATGTCACTAAGGACAGGGGTGGGGTGTCTGGGTGGTGGCTGGTTGGTGACGGTGTGCTGGCAGGACCGGGTGGTGACAGTTGCGGTGACTGTGGTGACTGTGTGGTGACAGTTGTGGTGACTGGACCGGGTGGTGACTGCTGTGGTGACAGGGTGGTGACTGTGGTGACATCCGCGCGGTGACTGATGATCGAGGGCGAGCCACTCGTCGCCGCGGTGAGGCGGGGGCGGTCGCGAAGGCCGGCCACTCCGCGCGATAATGACAGGCCTGATGGTCGGCCCGCACCGCCTGTCTGTCTCCATTTCGCCCACTAATCTGACAGTGCCACCCTGCCTGGGGACCCGGCGACCTGCCGCGAGCCGCCGCCGCCGCCCCGCGCGCCCCGGTCACTCCCTCACACATCTGTGAGACGCGCCGCCGCGGGACTCGTTACAGTTGACCCGAGCCGGTACGATGGAGGAGTGTGTTCGACTTATGACATGGATAGGCTCGCTGCTGGTGTATCATGTCAGTCGGTACAAACCTAACTATCACAGGCAGACGTGTAACCTGAGAGCGACAGTGGCGATTTCGCCGTTACCAGCCAGGCGCTGGGTGGACGGGCCGTGTCACACGGCGACACGCAAACCTGTCACGAACTCTGAGGGCTGTGCGGGGTATGCCATCCAGCCACTAATGATGCGGCCGGCCCTGTCCACGGACAGCACCGGACACGTCAATTAGTGTCCGCGGCACCGCGCGTGACCGCCGCCATGACAGCGCGGACACGGAGCGGAAGGGCTGTCGTGGCATGGCTGTATGTCGTACACGACTCTTTTAGCTCATGAGTTGTTACAGCGTGGCTCTATGTCCATTCAAATGAGCCCCGTGGGACATGTGCAGCTTATGTCAGTGTCAAGTTCTGATCAACTCAGCACGAGACACCCTTGTGCATCGACTGTAGGGGCGTTCCACGACAAATCGACAAATGAAAAATTAAATTTGCACCCTCATATTTTATTCTTCGTTGAAAACTGGTATAAGGGGTTGTGATGGGCGGGGAAGCCAGCTGTGGCAAGGATTTTTTTCTTCGAACAACGGTTTCCGAGATATAGCCTCGGGCAATTCCTGGAGTTCGCGCTGCAGCCCTATGTTTGGCGGCCTATAACTCAGAAACTATTGTTTTTTTACGATAAAAACTTTATATGGTTCAACTCACAATCAACCAACAAACATTTTGGCTATCTCGGATTTTCAATTTTTGAAAATTTTGATCACGTGACCTTTTGTCCTATTTTTCGAAGAGTGACCT